AAATTTCTGACTGCTCCAAAGAAGACCACGCTTTTTATGAATAAAATCTTGCAGACAACCAAAACTCCAAGCGTCTTTTCAATAATTTCAAAGCTCAAAGCTGGTTCAAACATTCCGCCAACGTTTTCCTGGAAAAATTCCACGGTGTGTTCCACGCCTCGAAAGTGCACATTGTTCAACTCTTACTGCTATTCGGTGTTCACTCCATATCAAACCTCCAACACAATCCAACTAACATAATCTGATATATTTTCTATCAATCATTACGAATTTTCCAAACAGAAAATTGAAAATACCGTAAAATCTTTGGAGGTCACGAAAATGAGATGACCCGACAAAAAACCTCCCGCGCTTCTCAAAAATACAATGGAGCTTTCCAAGTGAATCTGCCAGTTGCTCCGCAAGATTCAGCAAACCGTGTTCTAGAGGAGTGGAAACTTGGCAAGGTTACTTTTTTCAAAAGAAAGGACCTAAAAAGGATGTTGCTAACTATCACGCGCTATCTAGCTACAAAACACTATCCCGAGTATTTTCAAAAAAAGGGTCTTTGTCTTTCCTTACCAGCAAGCTGTTAATTTTATTCCGAATCAGCGATTCAGTTTTCAAAAGAACGGATCCCGCATAACCATTTTCTGTGCTAACTTGACGTAATTTACGAAAGCACTGAAGACCGTGATGCTGATTTTGAAGCCGTTTATCTCAACTTGTCGAAGAAGTTTGACAAATTAAATCACAACTGTTTGCTAAATAAGTTGAAGCGGATCAGAGTCCGAGGGCGCCCCCAGATTATCAAAAATTACGTCAATGACCAAAGACAGTACGTTCAAGTTAGAGAGACTAAATTATAATGCCTTTTCATAACCAGCGGAGTCTTACAAGTGTCGAATTTTGGACCTTTTATTTATGTTTTCGACATGAAAGACAGCGTTAATTCTATGCCTTCCTTGTTTGCCGATGATACGAAGCTGCTATCAATAGCCCACTCGGAATTGCTTATTCACCACAATCAGACTTAGATTTACTAAGAGATGCGGTGTAGATCAAATCAGATGATATTCAAATCCGACAAGTGTCGTCAAATCTTTTTCACCAGGAATAAATCACTCACTCCGCTCTGCTTTTGGTAAAAAATAGTTCGCCTTTGCACGAGGAGAAAGAGTTGAGTCTTTTCCTAACTCAGGACTTAAAGTGGAGCACTCTCATTCGAAAGGCATAAAACAAAACTAATCAGATTCTGTCACTTATCAAAAGCAACGCCTCTTTTCGCCTGCATCATCTACAAAAGTTAAACCTAAATAATGTAGTATTGCGAAATACTACACACACACAAAAGACCATTGTCTTAATTGTTTATTTAACGACCCAATTCTAAATTGGAGCGTGCCATTTAAATTAAAGCCTCTTTTCACTAAATCAGATATTGACTGATTTACTCTTATTAGGACTATAAAATCTTGTTTTGAAAATCCACTCCGTTTTGAATACTTGTCCAATTTTTCTCATTTTTTCATGCTCAATATTTTAAAAGGGCGGCGATTATTAATACGTCCCTTTTAACTTAACTTGAAACAAACTGGATAAATATTTAGCAGTCTTGCCGGCTGCACTGAAATTCTCCTTGCTTTGATTAAGCAGAGGTGCACCTGCAATATGATGCATCAGAGAGAGTAATATGAATTTTTAATAAGACAAACTGAAGGCTGCGGTTTTCATCAAAGGGGACTAATAAGTTGAAGATATTTGATTTGAAAAAATCAAATAAAAACTAGTTGAAAATTCCCTTATTAGAAAGGGAGAACAAAGGAGCAGGTGAAATCTGAATAATTAAAGATTGAATCAGCCGCCGGTTTATGCTAAGGAGCAAAAGGACTGGCCTGAAATCTTCAGTGTTTCATTTTGCTCAGTAAGCAGCAAGTCAGTTCTCTTCAGTCAGATCTTTTAAAAATAAATAATTTTTCTTTTCTGCCCTAACACTAAAATTAATCTAACCCTTTTCACTTATAAAAAGAGAATAAATTCTCATTTTAAGTTTGAAAAATTATAAATCGAGATACGCACACCCGAGGAAGTCTGGACTACAAGTACCCAAAGGACTACGGCAAGACGATTCAGACGACCCAACCAGAAGTGCTGACTTGGACAAAATCAAGGGCAACCATACATACTAATCAGCCACCGACCTTAGTAAGAAGATAAATAATTGATGAACAAAATAAGATTAGCTCAACCTCCCCTCATAGGTATATTTCTTTAAGCTGTTCGATTCGTTTATATAATCTAATAACCCAGTGCTTTGTATCTAACCAACTAATTAATTCATACCTTTTCTAACTATTGTTTCTACTCTACTTTTTGTCAAGACAATTTGACGATCTAAGGTGAGACTTATAAATTAGGATAAAATTACTAAGCATTCAACCAGCAATGAGCGCTTAGTAAAATAAGTTGATGTTTGTTGCCATCGTGTCATATTGCAGCAATGTGTGGTACTTATCCACAACAGACTTGAAAGCAATTGAGCAAATTCAACGAAGATCCACTGATTGGAAACTCGGTTTTCCTAATGCTATCTACAGGCAGCGTTTGAAAATACTTAGCATTTTATCTTTATCGCTCAACATAAAGATTCATTATCTTCTCGCAATGTATTAGATATGAAACAATATATACGACCTGCCGTGGGATTGCTACTTGTCCTTATTGTCCTTGGAAGGCGAAAGCTTTCACAACAAAACAACCACTACTGAAGATGACGCTCGACTTGACATCAAGTCAAATGGACTCTGGGGAGGCCGATTCAACCGAACCTTTTTTGATGTAAAAATTTTCAACCCCCATGCTAAATCCTGCCCCAAAACTATATCTGACGCCTACAAATATCATGAGAGTGTCAAAACATTAAAATACCAACAAAGAATTCTGGATGTGGAACACAGCAGCTTTGTTCCACTAATTTTTGCGTGTACCGGAGGAGCAGCACCAGGCTCTACAAAACCATCCAGAAACTAGCAGAGAAACTAAGCGAGAAACGGAACGAATCATACTCGGACACAATACACTTTATAAGAACAAAAATAAATTTTGCACTTCTGAGGAGTGCAATTCTCTGCCTTACGGGGTGCAAAAATCTTAAAATACATCCAACATAGACAATTCTCTCTGTGCTATAATCGAGGAGGGTAGATTTTATTTGACAAATCTCTTGATTCATTAATATCGACTTGATTTATTCATAAAGTTTTGCCGATATATTTACATAGCGTTGGTACGGACCTATCCAACTTGTGCACGTACCGTCGCATGACAGAAGGGCCCATTTTAATTGACTTTTTAAAATACTCGTGGCTCATCGACGCAGGTCTTCTTACCGGCACTTAAACTTAAATTCTGCCGTGGGAGTTTTTGGTATCGAACTGCAAGACTTTTCAACATTTGAGTGGCAAAGTAGATATTTTAAATCATCTTGTGTTAGCTTCGTGACATCTTGTACTGGCTTGTTTTATTTCTTTATGCTTCACCCCTTGCTTTTTACCGCAATGTTGCTACACTAGTGGACGAAATTGAGCGTAAACTCAGGATTTTATTCTCTAAAATGCTGGTTTTCAATGTCCATTTTGGACAGTTCCTTCGATTTTTAGTAAAAATTTTACTTAGACTAAGAGCAAATGATCTCAGCTATCCTTCATGAAACTGTCATGAAAGTTTGGTTTCAAAGACTAACCAATTTTTTCGGGGTCTGAAAATGCAGTTTTCCTTATTTGCCCTAAGATTTTTACTTGGCTCAAAAAAGTGAGAAACATCCGAGTTTATGAAAGTTTTCACAATGAGTATTTCCATTTTCTCGCTGAAAAGGTTTCAGGTCGCAAGAACAATTTTTACTCCGCTTATTCGAGAAAGAATTCACTGCGATGCGAAACTTCGTGCAAAGGAGGAAAACTGGCATTTTCGGATCCGGAAAAAACTTGTATGTCTTTGAAACCAAACATTAAGAGTTCCAAAAAAGGTAGCTCTGACCATTTGCTCGTGGTCAATGTAAAAGTTTTACTGAAACTCCAAGGAAAGGTTGTCCAAATGGACATCGAAAATAGTAGGATTTTTAGAGAGTAAAATCCTGAGCTTGCGCTTAATTTTGTCTACTAGTCTAAAATAATAATAATACAGTGCTGATTTAAATTATCCGGACGAAACAAACAAAACTTGAATTTTCAAACGCGTTTTTCTCAAATTGGGTTAAGATTACACAAAAAGTGAAGAGGACAAAAATTGCTTAGAATTTCACCAGAATTATTATGGTGCCATTTTTTCTCCGAAATTCTCAACAAAAATTCTACCCCAAAAATGGGTCATTTTGGCTTTTTTCAATTAATCAAGAATTACGCTGAAACTACTTTGTTAATTGATATGAAAATTATATCACAGGAAGCCTCTTACGCAGCTCAACAAAGTTTAAGAAGGGTTAAATTTCCAAAAATTTGCGCAAATTGTTTAAAATTTATTTTTAAACAGAGATTCTGGGTTTTATATAGTAAAAATCACATTTATTGACTATCAAGTGAAAATTTTTTCATTTATACTGGTTTTTGGAGATTTAACCCTTCTTAAACTTTATTGAGCTGCGTAAGAGGCTTCCTGTGATATAATTTTTATATCAATTAACAAAGTAGTTTCAGCGTAATTCTTGATTAATTGAAAAAAGCCAAAATGACCCATTTTTGGGGTAGAATTTTTGTTGAGAATTTCGGAGAAAAAATGGCACCATAATAATTCTGGTGAAATTCTAAGCAACTTTTGTCCTCTTCACTTTTTGTCTAATCTTAACCCAATTTGAGAAAAACGCGTTTGAAAATTCAAGTTTTATTCGTTTTGTCCGGATAATTTAAATCAGCACTGTATACTCCTCTGCTTTAATGCCTTCGTCTTTTTTCGGTACAATAAAAGTGTTCTTCTGGATTGTATGTTTTGTGTTTATTTTTCCAACTATGAAAGGTTATGCTTTATTCAGAGTGAAATGAACGAGGAAGATGTGCATGATCTTGGTGATGATTCACATTTGACTCCCGGAGTTGTGTATCTGAGCTCAATTCCTATATATTATCGCTTGAATAAAATCCGAGAGTCGTTCGGACAGTTCGGAAAACTGGGAAGACTCTATTTGTCTCCCGGACCTTCTATCGACGGGAAAAGGTGCAAAATTTTCACAGAAGTAAGTTTTTACTCTTGAAAGTGTTTGGTGCCCGCAGTTAAAACGGCAGCTGTCTAGAGGACAGTTCCAATGTGGGTGTTTAAGGCGACAAATAGAATCAAGATACTCGATTTTTTTCTTGAATAAATGCTTGCTTGCTTATTTGGGTGTATTTTACTTATTCCGCCCATATTGCATACATACCCACCTACATATATTCATAAATCTCAATTTTTGAGAGCAGAAATTAAAATGTTCCAATCTGGTACAAATTATTATAGGCGTTAAAAGAGGCGTAAAAAGGGCGTTTAAAGTTTTTGCAACTTTTTTGAACACAGGGCTGGGTTGAGTTTCGCGATAAGAAGAACGCTAAAAGAGCGGCCTTGGTTCTTGACAACACGCCAGTAGGAGGGAAGAAACGATCTCAGTCCAGTGGACAATTATGGAATCTCAAATATCTAAGGTTGGTTCTAAAAAAGCTTCAAGGTTTTCTCAATAGACCTTCAACGATAGCACTTAATGATAGTAGTCAAACACAGCCAGACATTTTTGTTCAGTCGTCCAATTTTTGAGTTAGCGTTACGAATTCAGTAAAAGATTGTTTTAGAGATTTGTTTTAGAGTTTCAATTAGTGGGGAAACGTGTAAATTGCTTACGCTCATTTTTTGTTTTAAGAAGTTCATGTATGAAGTTTTTTTTCTAAGCGCAACTGAATTTCGCTCGCCGTGATAAAAATTAAAATAGTGCAAAGATATTGCTAGGCTTTGATTTTTGCTTTAAAAAAACATTGGTTGAAAGTTTTTGTTTTGAAAGCTTTTGCTGGGGCAATCTTTGCTTCAAGGAAGACTTTTAACCAATTTTTGGGGTCTATTTTGGTTCCAAAATGCTAAAATTTGTTCCGTGCAATACCCCAATACTTTCTCCTTTTTTCAATTAAACGATAAAAAAAAAGAAAAACGATTTCAAGTAATGTGAAATCGGAACATAAATTTTAAGGTTAAAAGCTTGTCTAACAGAATCCTTTGGTCATTTGACAGCTTAATTTAAAGTAGATTTTATTTCCACAGCTCATGCTTGGTCGAATGTTAGTATATATGCCAGGGGCAACAAGTTCCCTGGTATGAAACCGACCCAGGCCTGTTTTTTTTGTTTCTAAGGGCAACTGAATTTCGCACGCCATGATGAAAGTTAAAATAGCGCAAAGATGTTGCTAGGCTCTGATTTTTGCTTTAAAAAAGATTGGTTGAAAATTTTTGTCTTGAAAGTTTTTGCTGTGGCTATCTATGCTTCAACGAAGACTTTTTACCAAATTTTGGGATATATTTTTGTTTCGAAGTGCAAAAATTGTTCCGAGCAACACCCTAATACTTTTTTCTCGTTTTCTCTTCATATCTTTTTAAGGTTAAAAGCTTGTCTAACAGAATCCTTTGGTCATTTGACAGCTTAATATAAAGTAGATTTTATTTCCACAGCTGCATGCTTGGTCGAATGTTAGTATATATGCCTGGGGCAACAAGTTCCGTGGTTTGAAACCGACCCAGACCTGTTTTTTTTGTTACTAAGGGCAACTGAATTTCGCACGCCATGATGAAACTTAAAATAGTGCAAAGATGTTGCGAGGCTTTGATTTTTGCTTTAAAAAGCATTGGTTAAAAATTTTTGTTTTAAAGGTTTTTGCTGGGGCAATGTTCGCTTCAAGGAGGACTGACCAGTTTTTGGGATCTAACTCTAAGTGCTAAAAGAGGTTTCTTACAACACCCTATTATTTTTTACTGTTTTTTTAAATGAAAAGGTGAAAAGCTTGCTGTATAAATTTTGAATATTTCGGTCCTTTTTCGCCGGCAATTAACAGTTGTAATAGTGAAAAGCTTATCCAACAGAATCACATAGTCATTTGATAGCTTAGTTTAAAGTAAATTTAAGTTCCACATCTGCTTACACGGTGGAAAAGTATTGTATATGCCTGGGGCGACAAAGTTTCCCTGTTTGAAACCGACCAAGACATGTACCTTTTGCCGCTCCTGGCCTGTTTCTTTTTGAAAACTGATTTTTTTTGCTTGAAAGAAATTGCTAGCCTGCTTTTCTTGACGCTGATATATCGCAGCTTGGACTTTTTTTAACATTAATTTGCGCTATCACTGAAAGTCAGCTGAGGTACCGCTCGATATTTTTTCTGAATGATTTTTAACGCTGCGATAGTACTTATTGATTGGTGTTCCTCGAAGATTTGACAGAACTCGAGACAAATGCTTGTTTTTTTGTAGATATTGTTTCAAATGAAAGTTTCACTTATTATTCCCGTTTTCTCTAAGAAAAAATGCAAACCATTAACATTCTTGAAATTTTTTTTTTTATCTTGATATGTTTTTATCGTCGATAGTTGTAATTTTCCCAGTCAACTTTTTTCGGTTTCCTTGACCTTTATTACCCTTGCGATAAGCAAGGCTATTGTAACCATGTACAAGACTTTTTGCCCCTGTGCTTAACTTTGTTAACAGTGGCAAAAGTCCTGGATTCGATCTGACAGGACTTTTTTTCAAAACACGAAATATTACGTTTAAAAAACTTTTGTTGGCTGATTTTTCGTCTGCTTTTGGCGACTTAGTTGTCACATCGTAGAATTTCTTTCCCTTTCGCAATTAGGATTGTAGTTGTATCAAGTGTTCGTATTTTTTTCTGCTGTTTGTAATTTTACTAACCTTGACTTCGTATATTTTTTAAATGATTTTTTTCAGTCGTTTTGAGGGAAAAGAAAAATTTATGCTCGATTCTGGATAAACTTCTGTTCATCTCCGCTCACAAATAAAAATAATAGTTCAATTTTTTCTTGAACTTTTTTTTTTAACTTTCAAGTTTTTTTCTTTCAGCTTTTTACGTTTCGTCCTATGTTATATCGGCCTAATTTCTTCATATTGCGTCTTTCGATGAGTGAAAAAAGTTTGTGCGCGCGTGTCTGTATATTATATCGGTGTAGTGGGTTCATGATTTTTCAGTTGACAAATAAATAATATATTTTTTTCGTGTTTCTGAGAAGGCAGAGTGGGCTTATAAGTTGCCTAAATGTCTCGATTACTGCATTGTCTCGATTACTGCATACGAAGAGAAGCGCGAAACTCAACAGCGCTGGAGAGAGTGAAAAAGTCGAGACAAAAAGGAAGAATAGGGACTGGCAGTGATTGTAGCCTAGGCTTCACTGTCGGGCAGATACCCTCCTATGAAACCGGTTGGGGCGTAGCCGACCGCAATCGGTTTAGTCAGGCGATAAAAAAAGATGAGAGACCGAACTGACCTGGTGAGTGAGCTTGAGGATCGACGTTGAAGTGAACTCGGACTGCTGCGTGGTGTGCTTGACGAAGCTGATGAGAAGTAACTGGTGTCGGCTGTCAAGGCTGGATGCACTGGCCCGCACCGACCTAGGGGAAAACACACTGGAGTTGAATGTTTGAAGTCGAAGAACCTTCACCTCGGTAGCAACCGGGGACGAGAGAAAAGAACAGAGGAAACGTGAGCGGATCACTAGACAGAACGGTCGCAAGGGAAGCGCAACGCCAAGTGGACCAAGAGATCAGCGATTCTGGGGAATTATGAAAACACCATTGTTTTGACCTGGAACTTGCAACGGGCAAGAGTGAGTTTCCCGCAGAAAAACAGATTTACAGAAATTCTTCGGTCCATCTCAAGAAGCCTGTCAGAAATTGTTTTGCTGTCAGAATTAAAGCCTGAGGAATTGGGATTGATGTGGATAAAAACCAAAGACCTCTAGGGGGTGTGCGTGTTCACGGAAAGCAAAGCGGCATCCTCCTGATAGACGGTTGGGCAAACGACTGGAGGGATCTAGGAAATGTAAGAAACTGCAGAAGCCAACCGCTATGAAAGACGGACCCCGCTAAGTTTGGAGAATACCGGGAGGAAATGTGGGATCTGATCAAAACCAGGAAAGTGATTGTATCTATAGTCGCAGGAGACTTTAACTCGTCTTTAGGAAATACCGACAACCGAACAGTAGATCATTTAATGGGGCCTTTCGGTAAAAGAATAACAATTGCTGCCACGTCAATAATGTGTTGTTTATTGACTCAGCGATGAAAAGACCCGGAGCGTTCTGTTTGACATAACGAAGGCTTATGGAGTTAACAGTGTACTAATATGGGGAGTACTGCAGAACCTAAAATGGCGGAATCAATACTAAATGTACTAAATGGCTTGCACGAACAAGCCCATTATCGGGTGAAATGACGTTAGGGCACGAGTGAACCCTGAACTCCACAACGAGGAATGAGAAAACAATGCACCACGTCACCGGTATTCAACATATACCACTCAAAATACGAAAAGAGCAGCTGAAGAGAGAAAACTTTTAGCAGCCAAGAAAAATCATAAATATGGCCTGCTTTAGCTATATAAAAAAGTCAACTGACTCCTCACAACCGATATAAACAAGGGATTTAGGAGCAGCACGAGAGAAATTTTCAGGATCAATGAATCGCTCTTTACCGGTGACTCAACCCTTATCGGATGGTCCGATGAACTTGAACCGGGCGAAGAGGCTAGGAAAAAAGCCATGTACGAGTTTGAAGAATAATGCCACGGCAGTAAGGAAGAGGAAAGTGCTGCTTTTGGAACGAAGATAAGAATGCTAAGTACTCTCACAGAAAAAGCAGAAGAGCGAAGCGCGGGGGTAAAAGCGGGCTTCCAAGCCTGGTAAAAGGTGGAGACATGACCACATGAAATCTACTCTATCCAACCGCACAAAAAATCTTATCGTCCAGGGAGTCATAGAGGCCTCGATACTATTCTACTCAAATGTGAGATCGTGGTCAGCAACTGGCACCGAAAAGCTTCAAAGTGTAGCAGAAAGGTGCTACCGCTTCATGTGGAACAACGGGAAGGCAGGCGCGCTGCTCAAAATGCAGGACATAGCTGTGAACAGCTTTCAAGTTCGGAAGGTGCTAGGCATATAAATTTTTCGAACAAAAGTCGAAATAAGAGCCATCCAAATACTCGCGCACATCCTGCGTATGCCAGATCACCGTAATGTCAAGGTAATTGTGCTGGGTATCTGGGTTGAAGTCCAGACGAAATGGGGAAATCTGAGAAATGACTAAATTAACTCTTGAAAGAGGCTGCTCTATGAAGCCGGAGAAGATTGGACTAACGCAGGTAACACCGCGTACGACAGGAAAAAATGGAAAGCATTCGTGCGACAATGGTACAAAAATCAGCTTGATTTGGAATAAACGATAGTGGTTCATGGTTGGAAACAGGAGGTGCTAAGTCGGCGGCAAAAATGCAAAACGACGGTCTGACATGCAGAGTAGATGGTCGTGGCCGAGTATGCAATAGCAAATCGGGTTGGGAAGCACGCTAAAAACGCGGTCACCCCCATGCGGGGAAGATATTCGTATGCCCAGGTATGTCAAGATTTTCCAGAAAAATGCAAGACTTGTAGAAATCGAAACTCGG